TATCAAATAAGATTATTACGAAATTTTTAGAAAATGAGCGTAGCCCCACCCACTTATGATGAAATGCTGTATCTCAGTAGCCGCTTCAATAATCCCTACCAAACTCGGCCTATCTGACAAATATGCAGAAAATCTTTGAAATCAGGAAATAACCACGCCCACTTCTCATATAACGGTAATTTACAGAAACTCGAAAATTGCGAAAAATCAGTAACTACTCAAGCTAATTCACTCAAAACCGATGCTTGTGTGACCATCACCAATGCAAAATGCCCTATTAGACTTTTTTTGGGAAATCCCTAAACATGCATACCAAAATTCAAAGCCAAGGCTTAGAAGGTACTCGATTTATTTACATCTTTGGAATACCCGTTCGGGCATTTTCAATTTGAATTCAAAAAGTTGTTTTGACTCCTGAAAATTTTAAATAAGTCAAGATCTTTTGCTTTTAATATGACGATATGTACATATGTAGATATTTTGCTTTAGTTTTTTTTTTACTTTTTCATAGCCGACAAACTCCTTTTGTGCTAACGCTTATTTCAGCAGGTCGCACTTCTACACATATCAGTTACACCGGCATCAAACCAGAAATATTACTTATGTATTTCTCAAGTATCAATGAATTTTGTGAATGAAAGTTTGCATCCCAAATCTTACATATGCATGCATGTACTAAATATGTATGCTTTTTATAAAAAATTTTCCCATGCGCCTTAAGAAAGTATCGAGTTACGTTTGCGAAGTGAAGCCTTAAACATTTTTTCACAACATTCATAATATCAATTACAACGAGATCATTGATTTTTTGGCGCACGTACAGCTCATCACATTTAATATCTATTTAAAAAAATATCCCTTTTCTATACATGCATATGAAGTTATAAATAATATCTATGTGATCTGACTAAAATGCGATCGGTCGGTCATGCTTTAAGCGAGCTTTCGATGACTTACAGAAGTACATATAGTCAGTGCCGGATTTGAATAATTTTTTTTTCCAGCGACCGTAACAATACAGCTTTTATTATAAAAATCGCGTTTGCCAATTATCTTTTTATTACAATTACAACGCTTTTATCAACTTGCAATGTTGTGTTCCAGAAACTTTCAATGTTGTGGATCCAGAAACTTTCAATGTTGTGTTCCGACACCAAAGCAAAGCTTTGAAAAGCTACTATAAAAAAGCATAGTGAATAGGGCGAGGTAGATGACATCTAGATGTCGCCCTATGTACTACGTTTGCTACACCGGAAATAGACGACACGCCATTTCTTTAAATAAAATTAGTTTGACTATTGCAACTAAATCGAATGCTTTGTAAGTGAAGTAACTTGTGGACCACTTGAGGTATAGGTGGACCAGTTGGTAACCATTTTGGGACCAGTTGGTAACTAGTTCGTGGGACCTGTTGGTAAGCAGTCCGGGAACCAGTTGGAAACCAGTTTGGGACTAGTCCGAAACTACTTACCTTCGGACCAGTTGGTCTTTTTAAGCTCCTGTGGCCGTTTTAAGGGTAATTCTTGGGCTCCTGCACTGCCGCTCGGGGTTTCTGCCTTCTACGGTGGTAATTTTGGGCCGGGTTGCCTGTTTTGGCGGATTGTTGTGCTGTGTGCCGCGTATTAAGTGTACCAGGTACCACTTTCTCGAGCGAATTGCTCTGTGGAACCTGTTGTGTGAGTTGCTGGCTTTTTGGCTAGACTTTGAGGAGGGTTTATACACGCATATCGGCGGAAATAGACGACACGTCATTTCTTTAAATAAAATTAATTGGTGCTCGTTTGTATGTACATACATATGTAAATGCATGTGTGTGCACCTATCTATTAATATCGTTGAATTATTTTAATATCTATTGCAAAATTTTATTCAGACAGGACTAAAAAGTAGAAAATAAATAATATAAAAAAAACTTTTTAATATACAACGCTTTTATAAATGGACTAAAAAGTAGAAAATAATACTTCTCAGTCCCATAGAATTTGTTTTGATAACTTTTGATTTTGAAATTTTAGCAAAAGTCATTATAAACAATCTATGAAATTGAAAATGAAAAGCGTGGGGCGCATGTAATACACTTGAATTGATATGAAAAGTAATATATGAATGTATGTATGTGGGTATATGAATAACGACCGCTTAAAATCGATTTCAAAGTTCTACTTTCGCTGTAGAAATTTTAGGTATACGTTATGTAGTTTGACTATTGTCAATTAAATCGAATGCTTTGTATTGCATGCGCTCCACGTTTTTCATTTTCAATTTCATAGATTGTTTATAATGACTTTTGCTAAAATTTCAAAATCAAAAGTTATCAAAACAAATTCTATGGGACTGAGAAGTATTATTTTCTACTTTTTAGTCCATTTATAAAAGCGTTGTGTATTAAAAAGTTTTTTTTATATTATTTATTTTACTTTTATTTAATTACTCTTTAAATAACAGTTATTTCTGATTTTTATTTTATAAATCCAAAATAACATTTATTTTTGATTTTTATCTAAATAATCTGCAAATAACAGTTATTTTGGATTTTTATAGTATATGCCTTAGATAACAATTATTGATTTTTAAGTCATATTTATAAAACTCATTTGTATAAGCCGTAGTAAACTTTTGTTCTCCAGCAGTATGACTTAAAAACTTAAAGCCAGTGACTAATTTTTATTGATGAATTTTATAAGTAAATAGAAAAAAAGTCTTCAAGAACTGTTATCTATGCCAATTAATATAAAAATCAAAAATAACTATTATTTTTTAGATTATTTAAATGAAAATCAAAAATATCTGCCGCTGACTCGACAATACGACGCATTTTCCTTTGTGTACTAAACTAAGTCAGCTATTTAGTACTTAAATAACGTTGTACTAAAAATGTGGATCCCCTTCGATTAGGTTAAAACATGATCTAAACATGTTTCTGATTGACTCGGGAATCAACTAGGCAGAACCTTCGAACAATAACTTATTACCACTTTGAACATGGGTCAACTCCGAAAACGGTACATGTCACTATTTAACGAATCCGTGCGCGGAATTTTTTAAACAAGCTTACAGTTTTTGAAATTACTTACACGGTTCAAAAAAATTTGGTCATATTTTATCTCAAAAACGTGACCGAGCTCATTTTATACCTTCTTCGGAAGAACTATGTCCAAATTATATTTTTATTTTATTTTTTAATTTGCCATATTTGTAATTTTTCGACACTTCAACAGTTTTTTCTCAAAAACTGGACGTGCTAAAAATATTTTGTAAATGCACTGCAAATCAGCATCAAAAAATCTATAAGATGAGGTCGGTCCCGTTTTTGAGATAAAATAGGACCAAATTTTGTTTAACCGTGTTATTTCACAAATTTCTGATTTGAACGTGCAATAAGGACGCAATTCAAATTTTCAAAAATAAAAAGCCTTACTACTGTTAAGCGGCTCATGTCTATAATCCTTGTCGAATCCATGTCTAGTCTTTAGTACTTAGCAATCCTTACTGCTTTCTTTAGTGAGGGATGGAAATGGATTAGAAAAGGATTCGAGACAAGAGCCAATTAGTAGTAGTAACTTTTTTTATTTTTTGAATTTTTAATTGTGTCTTTATTATGTACAGAGGACCATAGAGATATATATGTACATACAGGGGCGCACCCAGGGGAGGGTGGGGAGAGGTTTTATACTTCTAAAGATATATCACCAGCAAATACTGAAAATTCGCTTCAGTTGCAGAAAAACGAAAAATTCATATAAAATGACGCGCAAAAAGTTAAAAAAAAATATTCTTCAATCAAAATTTCTTAAATCAGTTTGCAGCTCTCAAGAAAAAAGTTCTCGTATATTTATTTCTTCAAGAAAATTTACAGCAAGAGCAAAGTGCCTTTTCAAGCAACAGAAAAAAAAAATATTTCTTGTGATTTTTCTCGAGAGCTGGATTCTAAGCTTTAAGATACAGTTTGTATTTGAGGTTATTAACTTTAAGGGGGTTTGAACCCCAAAACCCACCCCTTGTGTGCGCTAATTTGTACATATATGTATGTCTTTCGGATTTTTAGATGTAAATTTTTAAAATAGAAGGGAGTGATGGAGGTCCGGTGTTTTCTCTTTGAGAGAAATGGTTTCAGCTGCTCTTTGCATTCTCCGAGACCTTGGAGAAAATCTATAGTCGGTTTTTCGAGAAATTGCATTCCAAACTTCAATCGCGAACCTCCAAAACCTGCTGAAAGTAACATACGACAACATTTTATCCGGGCGTCGCGACGATATGTACATATGTATGTATGTACCAAGGTACTGCAGCAAGCTACTTACTTTTCAAGCTACTTGAAAACTTACTTTATTGACTGGGTTTGGTTCGAAACAAGCAAGTAAACGCTTGGCTTGCTTGTTGGATTTCAACTCATACTCGTACTTGATTTATTTACTTCAAACATATCGAACTCACTATTTATTAGCGAAACAAAAACACACTAACACATAACAATACCCTTTGGTTTTAACAAGCTGATTCACGGTTTGCAATATGTACGTACATACATATGTATTTACAAGTGCTGCTGCTGTAGTCAAACTTGTTCGATTCAAGCTACTACCGTATTCATTTGCGTTCAAGCTATGAGTTGAATTGGCTTGTTTGAAACAAGTGTGAATCATACTTGTGCTTGTATTTTTTCAAAGAAGTAGGTAAACGTATATGAATCGGCTTGTGCAGTACACTAGTATGTACATATGAATCAGAATTGTACTAAATATATGAATCAGAATTGTTTCAAATTACATGATCGAAGCTAATCTAAAAGTTTCAAGTATCTATCTCGTCGGGAATTTAATTTAAAATCAATTGGAATTGGAAAATTCGCCGCGATGAGCAAATTAAATAAAAGGTTGTGAAAAGGAGAACATCGTAGATTTTTCATCTTCTCATTTTTCAAATCTAAGATTTATTACCACTATGTACCACTTTAAACTTATAAACTCACAAATTACAAAACTAAACATTTATTTACTTACCTAACTCGTTGGGAAACTTCTCGTGGGCCATATCCACCATTCTTTCCGTCCACCACAAATCTTGATAGCCAGCATTATTGTTACTATTACTATGATTATTGTTACCGTGTGCATGATTATTGTTGCTGCTGCTATTTGTATTACTATTACTACTGTGCGCCGTACCATTGCTGGCACCACCAATGGGTGAACTACTACCGACGCTGGCATTACTGGGTGGAATCGGTTGTGGCACTGAAGCGGCCTCGCACCAACCCATTGGCGAGGTAGATGATGTGATCATTGCGGCACCAGTGCCAATCAGGCCGCTGACGTTGTGGCCGACGGCATCGCCGATACCAACACCAACACCGATGCCAATACCACCAACTCCCCCACCGCCGCCGAGCCCGCCCGACGTTGAACCGCCGCTGTACACCGCAGCAGCTGCGCTGGGCAAATGCATTCGCCGTTGGTAAGGAGCAATTTTGGCGGCCTGTGGATATACGGTGACGGAAGAAAGGGAACGAAGACAACCAACGGCAGCCACGTTGGGATTGTTTTGTTCGACTTGTGGCTGTAGCTGCGGCTGCAGCTGCGCCGAGGGCGGTGTAAATTGTTGGGCGTGGGTGGCGTTGTGTGATGAGGCCGGGAGCTGCTGAAATGGGGCGGCGTTAAGGGAAGCGACGGCGGCGGGATTACTCGGTGTAGTTTTTATCTTCAGTTTGCGGCTTCTGAGGACCGAAGGTAAGCAGAAGTTGCACTTGGATTGCACTATTCACTTTACAAGTATGTTGTTTATATTTCAAGAATTACGTATTTAGTTGCTTCAAATAAAACTGTTTTGGCGCAAATTATTCACTGGGCATTTATTGAAAGGCGTTTTATTATTCCATTCGACCGCTAAAAAATATAAATATTCCTTTCATAATATTAGGGAATCCCACTCAACCCGATTCAGTTTGTTTCTTGTTGCTTATTTATTCAAGATTTATTTTGTAGTGTCACTGTAGCTTCCGAAAATGTTGGATTTTCCCAAGTGTTACCGGAAACTTTGAAATGATCACTGATTTTTAATTACACTTTGCCTACGTTTATAGATACTAAGGTATTTATGTACGTAAAACCAGCGAATTAGTTAATAAATGATTAAGCGACAAATTAACATAAATGAATACAGTTCAATCTCTTTGCTTAGTTCACTCAATTTTTAAGCGATACAGCGCAGGCAGCGTGACGTTTACTTGGCGCACTTTATTTTGGACGTTATGAATATTTCAGAGCACACATCGTAGTGTGACTCACGCGCACCAAACCGAAGTTGGAAATACGCTGATATCGAAAAAGACACTCAGAAACAGCTGCAGCAGCTTGTACGACTTTATTTTTTTAGCCGATTCAAAGACTTTAACGATTTCTCAGAAAATCACAACAAAACGCAACGCGTATCTACATACAAAATATGAATGCAAATTAAATATACATATATAGGTACATCAGAGTTACCACTGAAAAGCTTTCTTTTCTACAAAGAGCTGTTTCAGAAACCTACCAAAATAGCTTCTTTCCTACCATTTAAGAAAACGGTGTTTTACGACAGTAAACTAATTTTTTTTGCTGGTTTTATAATTAAAATAAACAAAAAGGTCAGAATAATCGCTGGTATATATGTACATATTAAGTATATATTATACATAGCACACAAAAAGGTGGTGTGTGCTTTTAACCAGACCCACCTACCGACAAGTAATTCGACCCGCTGAACCCGAATCTGAGGTCTGTTTGACTTCTCCACCCTCAAAATTTCGAGTAAATTTTGAAAAAAACGAAAAAATTGCAAAAATTGTCTAGTTTATAGTTTTAATAAAGCCTTCGGAGTAAATGACGTGAAAAAGCGGAGCAGAAAATGAAATTCCGACGTAGAATTTGTATACATCACTCATTTACATACACATATTTATTATAAAGAATATATATCGTCGTTTAAAATACAAAACCGCGTATCGTCGTTCTGCAAAACCACGTAACTGACTTTTGCTGCCAAAAATTGGATTTGCTCACACAATCTCTTGGATCAAGCCTTATTTATTCGTCCTGAAATATACTAGCCAGAAATGCGAGTATGAGTGTTTTTACTCTCTAGAAAATAATTTATGCAACCTCACAAACGCGGTTTTGCATTTATTGACATAAATAAGTAAGGTAAAAATAAGCCTCACAGTTAGGCTTGGCAAATGTCCGAGTCTAGGAGCCGCCGGGCTGGGGGAAAAATCCTCGCGCTGCGGGTTTGCCATTAATTTATTCGAGTTGCGCTTAAAAACTTTGAGATCCTCCGTTTTACTGGAAACATGTATGACTAATAATAAGCTTGCTTTTTAATTTTCATGTATAATAAAAAATAACATATTCTGAAGCCCGTACATTTGTTATGTAGTATGCTAGGGGTGAGCAAGGCCCAGGCCGAAAAGAGCCACAAGTAAAATCTAAATGCTACAAAGAGCCACAAAAAAAAACTACAAAAACCAAAATTTTATTTTTAAATATTAATATAATTATTATTCTAATGTAAGTACGTAAGATAGATATTAAAGAAAATTTAAAAGATCACTTTGGCCAAATTTTCATAATCTGGTTTTACGTCAGCTAAAACCGTTCGTAACAGTTCTGTTAAATGTTGGATAGTCAACAGATACGGTCGTTTAAAATCTCCTGTAAAAAATGTCCAGCAGCGAAATTCCGGCGAAATGTCATCTGTTCTCTGACAAAAGAATTCCAAATAGTACGCCATCAGAAAATTTACAGAAACTTGCAAGTTAGACGAACAGCTGATAGAAATTTTGTTTACATTCAAAAGAATAAAACTGAAAACGTAAGAAAACAAATTCCGAAGTCTTATCCTGATACAGTTCACCGACTAAACGAATAATTACTTACTTCTTACAAATTTAATTAGTCGCATTTTACTATTTTAACTTCCAAACCATCAAAGTCAATTTAGGGATTTGCGTAAATTCCAACCAGCTTTTTTTGATTAGCGATTTTCTTGTTGCCAAAAATGTTTCCAGCAGAAACTAACAGCTTTCCCTCAAAATGAAATGTCATTTTGCTCTCTCAATTTCCCCTACTTTGCAAGTTTTTGCGTACGTGAAAACAAAAAGCTAATAGTCGGGTACGCGAATGCAATTAATTGTGAACGGTATTTTGCCTTTACGAATTTCATTGTAGAGTACAAAGATTCACAGTTATACGTTGCACCAAAAATTTAAAATATACGGCTCGCAGCTGTTTGCAACAGCGGATATTTTCAATCTGGTACTTGTTGCTGGATTTCAAGCAATGGCAAAGCTTTATGTTGCATTTCCAGTGCCTTATCTTCTTCTAATTCCAAAAAATCCAACTCTCGCTTTTCTTAAAAAGGAGAATTTCGGATATTGTAAATTCATCCTCAATTATGTTACATAACACGTAATTTTAAGCAAAAAAAAACGACTTAAACAAAAATACACATATATATATTTCATGATCCAATGATCGGATCTAAACCAAATTAGTACGGGACCACCTCTGAGAATTATCGAAATCGGTTGACGTGGTCCAAAGTTATGCGGTAACATACATAAAAAAAAATATATATATATATTCCGACGAACTGATAACCTCCTCCTTTTTTGGAAGTCGGTTTAAAAAGGGTTTATGAAGTATGCAAACGGACATTTAAATAATTTCAAATGGGCAAATATTTTTTCAAAATCTGTTTTTAAAGCATGTGCAATATTTTTTTTCTAGCCAAGGAAAATTATGAAATATTATTTTTTTGAGATCATGGATAAAAAGACGTAGTTTAGCTTCAAAACTTAAAATAATTTGCGACAAATCAAAAACATTTTGCAAATTTTCCATCATATCGGTAAAGAACATTAAGTCAGAAAACCAATTTCATTCCCCAATTGCGGATAATGATCCGATCTCAATTTGCGTATGTGTATATAAAAAGAATAAAATAAAATAACAAAGAAAAGAATGTCCAGCAAAGAAATATGTATTTTAAAAAGTAATTTTTAATTTTTCAACTCTCATAAAAAAAAATATATATATATATATATATATCTCATGATCCACTGATCGGATCTTAACCAGACCACCTCTGAGACACTACCTTTCCGATGCAAAAAGAATTATCGAAATCGGTTGACGTGGTCCAAAGTTATGCGGTAACATACATAACAAAAAAAAAAAATATTCCGACGAACTGATAACCTCCTCCTTTTTTGGAAGTCGGTTAAAAAGTAAAAAGAGCCGCACTTTGCTAAGCAAAGAGCCGCATTTGGCTCAAAGAGCCGCGTTTACCCACCGATGTAGTATGCATTTGAGTTTTTCTTCTAGTGCCATTTAATTTTGTCAATGTTAAAACTGTTTCGATTCGAAGAAAAATATCTGAATTACAAACCTGCCTTTCCATCCATCAATTCAATCACTGCATATCCCTTTAAATACTCAGTGGATATAACTTTTTATAGCGTATACGGAGTTCAGAGAATCGCCGAGGGTATTTGGTGAGATTCTGCCTATGCCAGTAAGGTATTTGGCAAACAGTTGAACCCATCCACAGAATGAAGGTAAAACTGATACTGTCCCAATTTGGCAAGCCTACTCACAGTGCTGACACTACTAAAAACCACTGTTTTATGAGCAAAGAAACCTACCAAAATTTTAAGCGTCCTACCATCCGACCAACGAGAAAAAAAAACCTACCAATTTTGGTAGGAAAAGCCCAAAACGGCAACCCTGCGGTGCACATGTTTATATTTTTTATTGGGAACTCGATTATCGAAGACTGCTGATTGTTAGCCAAAAGTAAAGACATGCCTCACTGGTCTAATAATCGCAAATTATTTCGAAATTTTCATCGATCTATATTTTGAACTCTACTATCATTTAACACAGACGCCAATGCTCTATGTATGTCTTTTTGAAATTTTTAAGAATTTATAAGAAATAATAAACGATTTCTCTTATTGTTTTATGGCCTTATTCATAAAAAATAAAGTAGGTTTAAAGAGCTTTATAAATTGACGTTTTCATACATTTTTCAATTTGTAAACCTTTTATAAAGCTACTTTATTTTTTATGAATAAGGCCATTATTCTTTAAATTTTTCATGGTTTTTATGACTCCACAAAATTTAGATCTTTCGAAATCGCTTGGTTTAGAAACTTTTGATATTAGGTGTTTTCTTTTGCAACCGAGCTACAAAACAACACTCACTGAAAAAACGAAATACATACTACATGCAAATTAACAACACAAACTCGGCTATTTATCCGAATTCAGACAGGTTATGTGAAAAAACTGTTATATTTTCAATTGTTTATGAGAGTAACTTGTTTATGAGGGAAACTTTTGTTTCTTTATATACATACTTATGTATGCACCTAATACTTTGCAAAATTATGCAATTCAATTGATTTTCGTGCATAAATCCCATTTAACTAATTACATATTTCGTGGCGGATGCCAACAGGGTTGCTTATGTAGCTAAATGAAAATTCTAACCGAGTTAGGCGTTCAGTTAAGCTACACTTTTAAATATTTGTCACATATGTACATAAGTCGATCTTCTGACGAAATATAATACGCTTTAAGCTTTATTTTTTACAAGTAAAAACCGTAAAAATTATAAATCTTATAAAATGGCCATGAAAAACATTTTCTCATAAAAATACAATCGGCCTTCAGTGTCGGCGCAAAACTTTAGATCCCTCCCCATGGATCAAGGCGCTCGCCACAAATCGGAGGAGACATATCTATTATTATTAAATGGTGCGAAAATGACGGCAGTGGTTTTCAAAGCATTGATAGCTGTGGTGAACATTAAAGTGTCCAAAGTAACGGTTACATACCATTAAGTACGCCTTTTCTGGATTTAAATTTTAGAGTATGTCACAAATCTTTGCGAGATCACTAAAATAGTCTGTGGTCACGTGTTTTTCGCAAATAAAAAAATATATATATTGAGGTAACCATTATTTAGGACACATTGATTTTCATCTCAGCTGCCAATTCATTGAAAATTTGGCCCGAAATTTTAAACCTCATAAACCGTAATTCGACAACAATGTCTGATTTTATGAATATATAGTACATCATTATATTAGATTTATATTTTAGATATATGTAGTTACTCTAGTCACATGTGATTTTAAGACAATTAATTCAAGAAAACTTTATTTTCAAAGTCCTACAAATTGTTAAATCTTATAATTGCTTGCGTTGCAATATGAACATATGTATATATATGTATGTCTCGCAAATATTGAACAAGCTGTCCTAGACAAATGTGTAGATATGTATATGGGAACTATTTCAACTTCAACTAGGTGTTTACCATTTTTTTTTTTTTTTTCTTCAATAAAGGCCTACAACGCCGATTTTTTGCTTGGAATATGTAACGCTAAGTTCTTTTGCCGCTAATCACTTTTGAATTTTCTCAGTTTACAACTATCGTTTATCTTCGCTTTAACTGCTTTAGCAAAATTTAATTTTAGAAAACTATTCTCGAAA